AGAAAATGTATACTATTTTACAATTGCATTTTGATTAATTATACAAATAATTATACAAATAATAAATTTTGTATAATATATGAAATAATGTTGAATAACAATTAGATAGCTTATTAAATATTATTTAATATTACTTATCTATTAAATTAGATTTAATATCTATGAAAATAATTAATGGCGTGACACAAGATTGCTATGAAAAAATCAGTACCCTTCGTCATATAAAATATCAATTATAGATGCATTCAAATTTTCTCTTGATAATTCCATAATATTTAAACATTTTGCAACTCCTAAAGATACCATTTTTTTAATTTGAGTATACTGATCAGCTAGAATTGGTAATCCTAAGAGTGGTACTGCATAATAAACAGCTTCTTCCGTGCTTTGAAGACCACCTTGATATATGAATAATTTAATGTTTGGATGAGCTGTAAAACAAAAAGTAAAATTTGCTAATGAAAAAATACATAAACATATAGTTTTATTAGTCTGAATGAATTATCACACTACATAGATTTACCGAGAATGCTCTGTTGAGGAAACCATTTAGCAATGTAGATATTGTCTGGTTTATTTGGTAATTCGCTGTCGTATTTCAATAGAATTTTATATGGCAAACTTGCAAATACATCTTGAAATATGCTTTGCACATGCTTCGATAATGATGAGATTTGGACATTTGTGCCTAAACTCATATAGATAAATCCATTCGGTGCATCTGTTATAAATTCTTTCAAATTCTAAAATATAATAATCATTTTATTTATACGTTGTATTCGAGAAGAAAATATATATAGAAATGGAAACCGAATTTTAATTATAAAACAAATAAAAAATGTTATTTGTCAAGCAATAAAGTTTCAATAATATATGGTTTAAATGCAATGATTACTTCTGGTAAAGCCGCGAGTTTTTTTGAAATATGAAAATTTCCAAATGACAAAACATTTGATGTTTGCGGTCTAACAAATGAAAGAATTTCTTGTTGATTTTGGAAAACAAAACTTATGTTTCTTTCCATATCACTTATGTCCGGTATATTTTTTCCAAGATATTTTTCTGCTATGGCTTGCTGCTCAGGGTAAAAATGATTTAATGTACAATATATGTGATACCATAAACGAATAAAATTCTTAATTCTTTGCCACAATGACAGATTAAAATCAATAATAGTATCTTGCATTTCCCAAGTCGAAGGATGTGATGGCAGAACAGGTGCACCGAATAGGTAATGGTTATTATTATACAATCCAGTTGATGTTACACCTGTAAATAAATATTATAGATATATAATGTATAATACAATAAATTTTTTGAATAATTAATTTAAACAAAGTTTGGATTTAGACAATTAAAAATTAAGGTAATATTATAATATCATTAAAAAGGTGTGCATATATTGGAGAAGTAATTAAGCTAACAATTTGTTTATATAATACAATTATTTTTTCAGAGTATACAGAGTATACATGATGTAAGAAGAATACAAACTAAATTCAATATTAAATCAAATGGATAACGATACACTATATTTTTCTAATTAATTTTACGAACATAAACTTATTGTATAGACTATTAGTTACGGAGTTTATGTACATCGAGAGAAATGTTTCATATGAATAACCGAAGTTTTGTTACTGACGGAAAAACTGTTGGTATTTGTGACTTTGTTGGTTATCACACCAATATTAATTCATTGATTTATTAAATAAACTAATAATTTAATGAAATAAAACTGTTTTATAATGTATAATATTTACATATTTATATAATATTTACATATTTTTTGGTTAAAAATGGAATACTTGTTATCGGAATTATGATATTATCAGATAAAATAATTACATAAAAATAATATAGTCTCTCTCACTTTCTACAGAGTGAAATTATGTTAGACGTTTTTGAACTTTCCTTTATAAAGATATACATTTAGATCGTTTGATTATTAATTACTCTGAAAAAAATGATTGTTGCTATGATGTTGCTATGATCAGTCAAGATATGACGAGTAATGAAACTGATTTCTATGCGTTTCATTTTATGCGTACGATGCATCATTTTATTCTTGCTCTAATTTATCGAATATTACAAAAATTGATAAAACTGTAGAAAAGGAGAGCATTACTTCTGTAAAACTAGCACCTCATTTTTTTTTTAAATTAACTTTTTGTGACAGGACAGAATATACATATATTGCATTCTTCAACATCTAAAGATTTTAAAACAGCTTTAAATATAAAATCTGACTATGAATACGGACATATTATCGCTTCATACAGATGGACTCTCTGTATATAATATATAATGTATATAATATATATAT